GTCACAGACACACAGTCTCTGTGTCACACACAGAGTCTGTCACACACACACTCTGTCTCTGTCACAGTCACCTCCCAACACATACTTGTATTATTGTTGCTACCTCTTGGTACTTCCTGTAATGCACATATATTCTCTGTAATTTTATTCTTTGAAAGTCTGTTATTTTAGTGTTTTGACTGGTCTATGCATTTCATAATTTTTATTTCTCTTACACTTAAATTTAATTATGTGAGTATTGAGTTCTAAAATGCCTAACCTGTCCTGGCTGGGGTAATTATTCCTATGGTAACTTTTTAAAAATATATTAGATCTAGGTTATTTTTTTCTACTGGTAGTGCACATAGGCACATACCTCGGTACACATAACAAAATTTATTCCGCACATGGATGGAAAAAATTAGAGGGAACATTGGTTAGGATTATGTTTTCCAATGTGCATTACTTTGCATTTATCAACATTGAATTTCATCTGCCATTTTGTTGCCCAGTCACCCAGTTTTGAGAGATCCTTTTGTAGCTCTTTCCACTCTGCCTGGGATTTAACTATCTTGAGTAGTTTTGTATCATCTGCAAATTTTGCCACTTCACTGTTTACCCCTTTTTCCAGATCATTTATGAATATGTTGAATAGTACTGGTCCCAGTACAGACCCCTGGGGGACACCACTATTTACCTCTCTTCATTCTGAAAACCTACCATTTATTCCTACCCTTTGTTTCCTATCTTTTAACCAGTTACCAATCCATGAGAAGACCTTCCCTCTTATCCCATGACAGCTTACTTTGCTTAAGAGCCTTTGGTGAGGGACCTTCTCAAAGGCTTTCTGAAAATATAAATACACTACATCCACTGGATCCCCCTTGTCCACATGCTTGTTGTCCCCATCAAGGAATTCTAGTAGATTGGCGAGGCATGATTTCCCTTTACAAAAACCATGTTGACTCTTCCCCAACAAATTATATTCATCTATGTGTCTGACAATTTTGTTCTTCGCTATAGTTTCAACCAGTTTGCCCAGTACTGAAGTCAGGCTTACCAGCCTGTAATTGCTGGGATCACCTCTGGAGCCCTTTTTAAAAATTGGCGTGACATTAGCTATCCTACAATTATTTGGTACAGAAGCTGATTTAAAGGACAGGTTATGAACCATAGTTAATAGTTCCGCAATTTCACATTTGAGTTCTTTCAGAACTCTTGGGTGAATGCCATCTGGTCCCGGTGACTTGTTACTGTTAAGTTTATCAATTAATTCCAAAACCTCCTCTAGTGACACTTCAATCTGTGACAATTCCTCAGATTTGTCACCTACAAAGGACAGCTCAGGTCTGGGAATCTCCCTCACATCCTCAGCTGTGAAGACGGATGCAAAGAATTCATTTAGTTTCTCCGCAATGGCCTTATCATCCTTGAGAGCTCCTTCAGCATCTCGATTGTCCAGTGGCCCCACTGGTTGTTTAGCAGGCTTCCTGCTTCTGATGTACTTAAAAAAATGTTTGCTATTACTTTTTGAGTCTTTGGCTAGCTGTTCTTCAAATTCTTTTTTGGCCTTTCTAATTATATTTTCACACTTCATTTGCCAGAGTTTATGCTCCTTTCTAGTTTCCTCACTAGGATTTAACTTCCATTTAATAAAGGATGCCTTTTTGCCTCTCACTGCTTCTTTTACTTTGTTGTATGGCCACAGTGGTACTTTTTTGGTTCTCTATGTTTTTTAATTTGGGGGATACATTTAAATTGAGACTCTAATATGGTGTCTTTAAAAAGTTTCCATGCAGCTTGCAGGGTTCTCACTTATGGCACTGTACCTTTTAATTTCTGTTTAACTAACTTCCTCATTTTTGTGTAGTTCCCCTTTCTGAAATTAAATGCTACCATGTTGGGCTGCTGTGGTGTTTTCCCTGCCACATGGATGTTAAATTTAATTATATTGTGGTCACTATTACCAAGCGGTCCAGCTATATTCACCGCTTGGACCAGATCCTGTGCTCCACTTAGGATTAAATCAAGAATTGCCTCTCCTCTTGTGGGTTCCAGGACTAGCTGCTCCAAGAAGCAGTCATTTAAGGTGTCAAAAAACTTTCTCTCTTCATCCCTTCCTGAGGTGATATGAACCCAGTCAATATGGGGATAGTTGAAATCCCCCATTATTATTGAGTTTTTTATTTTTATAGCCTCTCTAACCTCCCTGAGCATTTCACAGTCACTATCACCATCGTGGTCAGGTGGTTGGTAATATATCCCTACTGCTATAATCTTATTATTAAAGCATGGAATTACTATCCATAGAGATTCTGTGGTACTGTTTGGTTCATTTAAGATTTTTACTTCATTTGATTCTACTCTTTCTTTCACATATAGTGCCACTCCCCTACCAGCATGACCTGTTCTGTCCTTCCGATATATTTTGTACCCTGGTATTACTGTGTCCCATTGATTATCTTCATTCCACCAAGTTTCTGTGATGCTTATTATATCAATATCCTCATTTAAAATGGGGCACTCTAGTTCACCTATCTTATTATTTAGACTTCTAGCATTGGTATATAAGCAATTTAAAAACTTGTCACTTTTTAACTGTCTGCCATTACATGATGTAATTGAATGGGACTTTTTTTTTTTCATTTGACTGTTTCTCATCAGATCCTACCTGTATTTTATCATCTTCCATCCTCTCCTACTTACTAGGACATAAAAAATCTCCATTAATAGATCCTCCCCTAAGGGATGTCGCTGTCTGAACCACGTGCTCCTCCGCATCTGTTGGCTTTCCCCCAGGCCTTAGTTTAAAAACTGCTCTATGACCTTTTTAATTTTAAGTGCCAGCAATCTGGTTCCATTTTGGTTTAGGTGGAGCCCATCCTTCCTATATAGGCTCCCCCTTTCCCAAAAGTTTCCCCAGTTCCTAATAAACTTAAACCCCTCCTCCCTACACCATTGTCTCATCCACACATTGAGACCCTGCAGTTCTGCCTGTCTAACTGGCCCTGCATGTGGAACTAGAAGCATAATGTCACCATGGAGGTCCTGGACTTCAATCTCTTACCTAGCCTAAATTTGGCCTCCAGGACCTCTCTCCTATCCTTCCCTATGTCATTGGTATCTACATATACCACAACCACCAGCTCCTCCCCAGCACTACACAGAAGTCTATCTAGATGTCTCAAGAGATCTGCAACCTTCACACCAGGCCGGCAAGTCACCATACAGTTCTCCCGGTCATCGCAAACCGAGCTATCTATGTTTCTAATGATCGAATCCTCCATAACTATTACCTGTCTCTTCCTAATAACTGGAGTTCCCTCCCCCAGAGCGGTATCCTCAGGGCGAGAGGATACCACGACATCATCTGAAAGGAGGGTCCCAACTATGGGATCATTTCCCTCTGCTCCAGTTGGATGTTCTCCTTCATCCTCCTCAACAGCACAGAGGCTGTCAGACGGGGGGGTGGGACTGTTCTACTGTGTCCCGGAAAGTCTCATCTATGTATCTCTCTGTCTCCCTCAGCTCCTCCAGTTCAGCCACCCTGGCCTCCCAAGCACAGTATCTGAGGGCCAGGAGCTCCTTGCACCGAATGCACACATACGCCACCTGCCGTAGGGCAGGTAATCATACATGCTGCATTGGGTGCAATAAACTTGATAGCCCCCACTCTGTTGCTGGACTTCTGCCTGCATTCTTTTTTTACTCCTGAAGCTTGGTCCTTTGTTGTTATTTTGGTTTTATCAGGGGGTGGTTTGGGCTTTAAATGTAAAGAATGTTAAGAGTATCTAGCCCCCCAGCTCACACTCCCTGCTCTAAACTCCCTCGCAAAACTCCCCTGTTAGCCGCTCCTGTTCGCTAGCTCCTCTGGTTGCTTAGGAGCAGGCTTTTTAAAGCCCTGGTATTCCTGAGTAGCCCCGCCCCATGTTTAAGGGGTGATGGGGGCTAAAGGGCTTAGGGATCACAGCCTCCTTAAGCAGCTCTCAGCCTTGCCTAGCAGGCCGCTAGGCTCAGCACACACTGTCAGCACAAACAAACAGACCATACGGTATATTTCAATCAAGCAGCAAGCACACCACAAACACACACACTACAGACAACTGGCAGCTGTGTAGCAGGGCTTAGGGACTTATACGGCCCCCACTTTCACCACAATATCTCAATGCCTCACTGATCCTCCTAGCCGCCGGGAGGCGAGGCAGATTCCTGTCCCCATTGTACAGATGGGGAACTGACGCACGGAGATTCTCAGGGTCCGTCTGCACAGCAAAAACCCTGCGGCAGTGTCTCCGAGCCCAGCTCTGCTGCCTGGGGCTTGTGCCGCTTGGCTAAAGGAACAGTGTAGATGCTCGGCTGGAGCCTGGGCTCCGAGACCCTCCCCCATACCCGGGTCTAGCGCCTGGACCCGACCGTCAACCTGCTGGTTTTAGCCCCGCAGCACAAGCGGGGTCAGCAGGGCTGGGCTCTGAGACTCGCGGCCGCAGGGTGTTTCTGCTGGAGCCGTACTCAGAGGGACTTGCAGGCAGCCTCTGGCAGAGCAGGGACTTGCCCCCAGGTCTCTCCAGACCTAGGCTAGTGCTCCAGGTTACGCGGCCTCCCTTCCTCATCAGCAGCTCTCGTTAGGCAGGGGCAATGGAACGATACAGATCTCCCCGAATGCTCTCAGTCCCTGGGGGACTAGGGGGCCGATTGGAATTAGCCAGCATTATCACGACGATGGGGGACAAGCACCACGGGATCTGTGATGGGCACGGGTGGCCAGGGCCTGTTTTACGTCTCATCCCACCCACAGCAGCTCCAGCTACACAGCGCCCCCTAGTGCTGTGCTGGGGTACTGGTGTCAGGGCTGAATCCAAGGTGAGAGCGCCCCCTGCTGCTGACTTCAGCACCCAGATTTTCTTTGAGTGTCTCCTGTCCCGGCACTAACCAGGCCAAGCCCGATTAGAGACCTGCTGAGCTGACACCTGCGGGGCCTGGTGCAGAGCTGCTGCTAACGGGCTGTGATTCTCTTCCTCCAGACTGAGAGCAATGGCTGCTTTTCGACAGAGGTGGGGCTGGCTCGCTTCAACCTGACCCACTCTGGCTACAAGAGGAGCTTCCAGGCCAAGGCGTCTCTCGTGGAGGAGGGGACAGGTAAGGTTGACAACCCTCCAGGATTGGCCTGGAGTCTCCAGGAATTAAAGATTAATCTTTAATTAAAGATTATGTCATGCGAAGAAACCTCCAGGAATACATCCAACCAAAATTGGCAAGCCTAGGGACAGTGGGACTGAAATCAAGCACACATGCACACCCCCAGGCAGCTCCCAGCACTAAACCCCCAGGGGCAGAGGGGGCTCACTTGCACGTGTGGTCATGTCATTTGTAGCCCAGCTGCTTTAGAGATGGGCCCAGAGGTAGCATTGGGGGGTTGGATCTGGGGTTCTGGTTCAGCCCATCACTGGGATCAATTCCTCATGAGGAGTTCAGACCTGGGCATATTCATGCAAAGACTAAACACCCTCCCGCGAGTGGCCTCTGGCTGTGGACTGAGCTGGCAGAGTGGAGTGAAGGCCCAGCATGTGTCACTGGGCCCTGAGTCACGGCCTCAGTGATGTTAGTGCTTAGCATTCAAAACTGCAAGTGCTAATAGCTTAGCAGATAACTCCACATTTAACCCAGAAGAATCCTGATTTCCAGAGCGGCCGACACCCGTTTGGCTGAAAACTGTAACTGTGGGGTGGCTACAACATTACCCTCAGGTGCTGACATCAGCGATGGCGAAGTGGCTGGAGGAGAGCGGGTCCAGAACGGCAACGGGTCACTGGGCACTTCTGAAAACGGCCCTTTCTGGGGGCAGGCCCTGTGCCGAGAGGCCTGTGCACGGGGTCAGCTCTGGGGCCGTTCAGTAAAGAGCTCTGTGCTGGGGAAAGGGCCGCAGAGCCAGGAGACCCTGCTGGCACATGTCAAGTGGCTGGTTTGGGATTAAGCCCCAGGGGAAGGTGGATCTAAATTTTCTAGTTTCCAGATTCCCCAGGAAAATCCTTCTCTGACCCCAGCCGAACCTCCCAAATTCTCCCCCAAATCACACCCTCCAGTACATAGCGAGAGGGGGTAGAAATGGCTGCACGGATTGTTATGGAGAGAAATCTGGGACGTAGCCTGAACTCTGGTGGCTCTCCTGGCACCTTCCTCCTATCGTCCCTCCCTCTCCTGCTAGGGGTGGAGCTCAACGCGACCAAGAGCTGCAAGATCGTGTCTGAAATCGCTACGGTGACCTTTGAGGACGCTGACGAGACCTACAAGGCTGGAATCCCCTACACTGGCAAGGTAACGGGATTACCGGTGTGACAGAGTGGGATATGTTTGTACCGCACTGTAACCTCCATTGGTGTTGACTGCTTGCTGGATGTGCTGCACTTCTGGTGCACACGTGCCCCATGCACTGGAGATCAGAATGCTTTAGCTGCGCTCTTCATGTCCTCAAGCCCCCCCTTACCGAGGGCACAATGAGGGTTGAGAAAACCAGGCAAGCCTCAGTTCCTTCTCACAGCCCCTGGCTGAGAGACAGAGCCAGCAGCAGTGTTCGGTCTCCTGCTCCACTGAAGTTTTTCTCTTTATATTTTGTAAATAGTAATTTTTGATAGTTAACAATTTTTACTGGAGATAGTGGTTTAGTTAGTTTAGCTGAACTCTCCTGTTTTAGGGAGGATTTCAGTCGTAGACTCCCTCTCCTCGGAGCAAAGAATGTCGGCCATACGTATAGGGTGGGGGAGTCTAGCCCGGGAAGCAGGGACTCTGAAAAACACTTGGGGGTCATGATGGATAATCAGCTGAAGACAAACTCCCAGTGTGTCAACGGGGCCAAAAGAGCTAATGCGATCCTAGGATGTATTAACAGGGGACTCTCGAATAGGAGTAGACAGGTTATGTTACTCTGTTAGCCATCTCTTCCGCCTCTAAGGCTGTGCCTGCTCCGGTTAGCGACCTCGAGTGTGATGGACACCATCTGCCAAGGAGCATGGGAGTACATCTCCTCCTCAGGTGCCTGCTACGTCACCTCTTTCTTTGTCACTTAAGAAGGGCAGCTCGAGGCCAATCCTTGGTCCCTCTGGCTCCCAGAGAGAAGGAGTCCTGAGTCCTTGGTTCCGCTGCTGGCTCATCCCTTTGCGCCCAGAGAGGATTTCGTGTCTAATGGGGTCTCACAAGGGTCAGACTTGGGTCCAGTACTACTCAGTATTGTCATTTAATGACTTGGATAATGGAATGGAGAGTGTGCTTGTAAAATTTGCTGATGACACCGAGCTGGGATGGGTTGCAAGCACTTTGGAGGACAGGATTCAAATTCTAAACAACTTTGACAAATTAGAGAATGGGTCTGAAATCAATAAAACGTAATTAATTAAAGACAAGTGCAAAGTACAACACTTAGGGAGTTGAAATCAAATGAACAATTACAAAATGTGGAATACCTGGCTAGATGATGATACTGCTGGAAAGGATGTGTGGGTTACAGTCAGTCACAAATTGAATACAAGTCAACAGTGTGATGCAGTTACAAAAAAGGCTAATCTCATTCTGAGGTGTATTAACAGGAGTGCCGAATGTATAGCACAGAAGGTAATTGTCCCACTCCAGTCGGCACTGGTGAGACCTCAGCTGCAATACTGTGTCCAGTTCTGGGTGCCACACTTTAAGAAAGATGTGGATAAATTGGAGACAGTCCAGACGAGAGCAACAAAAATGATCAAAGGCAAATGACCTGCCGTATGAGGAAAGGTTAAAAAACTGGACATATGTAGTCTGAAGAAAAGAAGGCTGAAGGGGGACCTGAGGACAGTCTTCAAATATGTTAAGGGCTGTTATAAAGAGGATGGAGATCGATTGTTTCCATCTCCACTGAAGGTCAGACAAGGAGTAATGGGCTTAATCTGCTGCAAGGGAGATTTAGGTTAAATACACCACTACCTCGATATAACGCTGTCCTCAGGAGCCAAAAAATCTTACCATGTTATAGGTGAAACCGCGTTATATCGAACTTGCTTTGATCCACCGGAGTGCGCAGCCCCGCCCCCCCAGAATGCTGCTTTGCCGCGTTATATCTGAATTCGTGTTATATCGGGTTGCGTTATATTGGGGTAGAGGTGTATGAGGAAAAACTTCCTAACTACAAGTGCATTTAAGCTCTGGAACACACTTCCAAGCGTGGTTGTGGAAACCTCATCACCGGAGGTGTTTAAGAACAGGTTGGGCAAACACCTGTCAGGGATGGTCTCATCTAGGTTTACTTGGTCCTGCCTCAGTGCAGGGGGCTGGACTAGATGACCTCTCAATGTTCCTTCCAGCCCTACATTTCTGTGATGTTCCTCAGACACCCTTAAGATCAGCCCATCCATTAGAAGAGTTTTCACTTCTTCTTGTGGGGGTAGTGAAGGGGGCTCCATATTCTGTTCCGCTAGGATACCCTTTTACGGCCCTTATGTATTAGAGAAACCCTTTAGGAATAAGGGTAGATATAGGCATGATAGCACTAGACCCTCTGCTTGTATCCACCTACATGGCTTCATTCCCTTTACCAGTATGGCCAAGGTTCCTGGCCTTACTGGCCCCCATGGTCTCATGACTTTCTAAACACATAGCCAGATCCACTTGAGGGTGAGGTATTCTTTGAAGAATCAACTGGTTGTGCCGTAGACTTCTCAAGCTTCTGACATACAGCCCCAGATGACGCAGGAAGTTATGCTCCAACAGCTACTTGCTGGTGCAATTCGGGAACATCCTCATCGTCAGATGAAGTCATAGTACCACCTCCTACATCTCAATTGGCGAACTATAAAATGTACCAAGAGCTTCTGCAGTGCATGGTGGAGGCATTGGGGATCCCAATGCAGACTGTCCAGGAAAAGGGACTAATTGCTTGACATTTTACACACTCCTTTGCCTGAGAGACTTGCACTTTCTATAAAAGGGCATTTTTGTACCAGTCCATTTATTGTGGCAGACTCCACCATCTTTACCACTAGTGTCAAAGAAGACATAAAAGCAACATCAAGTCCTTCCTGTAGGATTTGAATAATTCTGTTCTCAACTTCCTCCTGGTTCTTTAGTGGTGACTGCAGCACAGGCAATGACTAAACAACAATCTTCTAAGACCACCCCTTAAGATAAGAAACTGAAAAGACTGGATCTCATGGGAAGGAAGAGCTACTCGTCTGCGAGTTACAAGTTTGTGTGGCGAATTATCAAAATTTCCTTTCCTGTTCTGACCATTTGAACTGGAACAAGGCCATTGAGGTCCTGGAGAAACATCCTTCTGAAGCCAAGGACAAATTTCAGGGTCAGTTAATAGTTAGGGCCTCATTCAGCACCAATAGAGGCGGTGGACCCCACTTCAAGATCTATGGTGACAGCAGTCACCGAGCATCGCCCGTCATGGCTACAGTGCTCTGGGCTGCCAAGGGAAGTTGGAAATCTATTGGATGTTCTTCCCTTTGAGGGGAGTGAACTTTAAAATGCAAAACCGGCTGAAGTGTTTGTGACTCTTCCCAAGGTTCCCCGGGCTTGTGAGGCAACCTCGCTACCACCTGCTCTTAGCGTGAGAAGGCCTAGACTGAGCCTGCCTGGACTCAGTTCCCTGACTAGCAACACAAGCATTGCTCTCCAGGCCTCCACACGCCTCACTCTTTCTTCATAGGTTAGCAATAGGCACGCTCCAGCCCCCAGTCATCTGAGCATCTCCTATAGTGTCTGGCCCCTTCTCCACTGGGCATTCACAGAATTACCAGGCCCATTGCTCCCAGAAGACCAGTGCACCACAGCTTACTAGTTATACCTTAGATCCCAGCTCCAATTAACACACAGAACTTAGATTTGTTTACAGAGCAAGCAAGTGGGTGTTTATTTAACAAAGCACAGAGATCCCTATGCCAGTAAACCAAAGTATTGGAAACAAGGGGTTAAATATACAATAAAATCATAAACACATTCCAGAGCCTGAACTCAGTTAACAAGATGCCCTTTTGTCTAATAAGGCACTGCTTACCCCAAGTCCTCTTCTCACGGCATTTTTCAACCAGGGTGGCTGAGACTCTTCTCTCATGCGGTGAAGCCCCTGGCAGCTTGCCTCCCCGGTAAAGGATAACTGGGGGTTCATCTGCACCCCAGATATGGTTCCAAATATTCATTGCATTTACTCCTCAACAGGATATCCCCTGCTGCTTTTCTTTTTTCCTGCAGCTCTCACAATCTGTTGATTAGCATTTTGCTCAGACTGTAACTGGTACCCCACTGTGAGCCACTCAAAACTCAGTTTACACATGAGTGGCCAGAGAGAGAGAAGCATCTCTTCCCCCCTGCCTGACAGGAGTATGTGGATCACCTTTTGGTGATCTCACAGACCTAGAGAACATATTTTTAATACATACACATAACTCCTATGTTTTCCATACACACCTCTCCCAGTTGTTAGGATGACCAGTGTGACATGGGCTTTCATTAAAGACCTTACATGACACTCTTTGGCAAACTAGTACATAGTGTGACATTAGCCACGGTACAATCTAGACCAATGAACAGCTCTGTTCCCTCAGTTGTCCAACCTAGGGTTCTTTTTACACTGCTTCGCTGTGAGAGCTACCACTCCTGGTCTGCTCACACCAAGTCTCTAGCATGTAAGTTACTCCCAGTTATATTGTATGAGTGCTATGGCCAGCCACTCTTGAATTACACTGCAGAGCAACCCCAGCAAATTCCCAGTCCCACACTTTCCCCCAAAAATGTGCGTCTTGTATTGCCCAGTGCCTTCTTGGACAATACAAGCTCATATAAAGTCCCTAATTTTATTAACAGGAAATGATACGCACAAATCCTGTTATCCCAAATGGAGTTTCCCCAAAACTTCAGTCCAAACACCCAGTTTTAAATCAAAGAGTAAAATAAATTTATTAACTACAAAAGATAGATTTGAAGTGATTACAAGTAACGAGGCCTAAACTTCAGAATTGGTTACAAGAAAATAAAAGTAAAAAGCAACTAATACCTAACTTAACAAGCTAAGTATATTCAAAGCAAAGGTCTCTCTCACTACATGTTGCCACAGTCTTACTGGCTGCATCTCTTTCAGTGTGGATCCCTCCCCAGTCCAATGCTGCTTCCTTTGTTCTTCAGGTGTTGTCAATACTGTGGGTAGAGAGAAAGGGAGACATCATTTGGGGCATCTGCTCTCTTTTCTTATAGTTTTTCCTCTTCTTTGAGAATTATCTCCAGCTGAAGGTCAGGAGACAGAAAGTCTGTTTGGATGGGAACCTCAAGCGGTTTCTTTCTCAAGATGT